ACCATTACAGCAGTTGCTGACTGTTTCAGAATGGATGTTTGTTTTTTGCCTCTGTGTTGACTTTAAATTCTGTGGATTCCCTAACTAGCACTGACTTGTTTATGTTCTAAATTTCAGTGCTTATGCTTTTATTAATTTTCTTAAATTCTGGTATGGTGACTGACACTAATGACAGGAAATGATTAATGAATGGGACCTTGCTGGGAATGTGTCACATTCTCATGTTTGTCTGGAGTAGTGACATGCTGCATTACTGGCTTTCATACATTTTCTGCCACTTTTTAATTGTTGAAACGCTAAAGTTTGTCTTTTGGTCTCCAGTTTCTGTTTATGCTCTTTAATAAAAAAGCTCCAGCAAGCCAACTACCAGCAGCTGTTAATAAACTAATCACTCCCAGTAAACAATTTCTTTTACGACTTAAATATTTTTTAAGGCACGATAGACTCTTAAAAAAAATCTGCCCTATCTCTTGTACAGTTTTTTGAGAACCTTTGGTGGAAGAATCAAGACTGTACTATATGTAAATGAGGAGAAAAGGGATACTTGTACAGGCCGCTCACATAGTGGGGAATTGATGTTCTCTGAGGCACCCTATTGCACACCAAATTGTGGTACCTTCACTCTGGCCTCCCTGAAACCTCTCTGGACAGCTGCAGTCAGTGACAAATTTGGCTTTGCTTCAGGCTAGTAAGATGGGAATTTATTTAAAAATACTCTGTTAGAGTATGCTGAAACTCTGAAAAGGGTTTAAAACAGTCAAAGTCATGGATCAGGTTGCTGTAACTCTCAAAGAAGATCTGAACTGGGGGTTTTGATGTTGTGGCTTAATCACAAAGCAGTGCTTCCTCCTACCCAGGGCTTCCCTGTTTGGTGCTGCTTTGCTGCCCTTATCTTTTACCAGTATTTGCAAAACCTGCTGACAAGGTTTTGAACTGGCTTGTTTGGCAAGTGCGGGCCACACCTCTGTTTCTCACAGCTGGAGTGCAGCCCAGTCCTGCGCAAAAATTCAGACCAGTCTGTAGCAAGCAGCGCTTCACAGCCGGGCGTCCAGGGACTCTCCTTATTTTCTGGGTGTCCCTGTCAGATTTTCTGCAGAGACAAGAAGACATTTTTCCCATGTTCCATAAGGTGCTGCGGGGCCCACTTCCACCCGGAGTGCTGCCTTTCCTGGCAGCTGTGCTTTTCCAAAGGAAGGAGAGGAAAGAGACTGGGTTTAATCACTGGCGGGTAAGACAAATCATAGTGCTGTCTTTGAGATGACTTTCCTTAGCCAATGTGTTCAGTAGTGACTTCCTGTTACTGCATGTGTGGAAAACCAGTTCTGTACTTCCACAGGAATTAAAAAATTTGTTGTTATTTAAAATTTGCCCTGAATGATAAAGCTAATAGAGATGCCAGGCTTTTATTAAATCTAGGATCTGTGTGAGGAAATGCAGATCAGGTCTGCGTTTCCTTAGTTTTTGGGGAACACAAGCTAATGCCAAGTACTCTTTTAGGGGGAGAATACTGCCCTTCTCATTAGTAGAGACAAAACCATGCTTATGTGTTTTCTTACAAAATATCCTTGATTACAATTCCCTTCTTTTATGCTCTCTGTCTTATCCTACAGGGATTAATGGTCTTCAGGAGACAAATATTAATAATGATGTGAGTGCCTGTTCAAAATGCAGTGCAACCACAACAGATAAGATGTTTTTGATGTGTTTGTCCTTTGACTGGTGTGAAATCATTTCATTGTGTAACATGGTCTGACCAATAACCTCAATTTTGAATTACATTAAATGTTTGTGAAGGAGCCTTTGACTAGGAGATCTGATCTGTAATCTGATCACCTGTGTTGTGTTGTCTCACACTAATCCCTCAATATACAATTTAAAATTGAGATGACCATTAAATGTCACAAAATGACTTGCTGACTGTATGCCTTTCTGTACTTCTGCTTGCTGTATGATAAAAATTGTCTTGTTGACTTTTTAATGTTGTTGTTTAGTACTTGGGAAATCAGGGTAGAAGAGTAGTGTTAGCCTCCATTAACCTGCAAACCACTCAATGTTATATTTCCCCTTAAGTACTTACTATACAAATAAAATTTAAAAAGTTAACACTACTTAGTCAAGTTGGGCTGGCTGGTAGGAAGAGATTTTGTATTGTCTAATTGTTAGCAATTGAGCAGGGAGTGAGGCAGCAGATCACCCTTTTGGCTTTGTAAGTGAGTTTAACGTGATTAGATCTCTCTAATTTTCCAGAGTTTAGCTTTATTTTCACACTTCTAAAGGCAAACAACGATAAATTGAGAGTGACCCCAGTGTTTGCCACTGCTGTTGTGTTACTGAGCTGCTAGCACTACTCGTAACCTGACTAACTATAAATCTTGCCTGCCAAAAGATTATGGTTCTTAAGGCTACCCCTGGAAGCCTCCATTCATGACTGCAGATGCACACTCTTGGGGGAGGAGGGAAGCTGCAAAGAGTGCCTAGGAAAGCCAGGTGTTTGCTTTTGAGTTTAAAAGGGAACCTGTGACACCTTGGCCACAAGGAAGGGAATAATGGGCAGCATGCTTACTTGGGAGCAGGAACAAGATGGGGAGAAGATGCTCCATTGGTATACCGGACATTTCGTTGAGCTACCTGATTTTCCCAGTAATTGTGAACACAAAATATATATTTTTATTTGCTATGACAACATTTTTATAATGCAACTGGCATGCACTGACAGATGTGGAGTGGATCCCAACACTTCCATCCCACTGAATAAAGACAGTTATTCCGGGCTATGTGAGAGTAAAGACTACTGGGTCCTGTAGCTGGGATGAGTAGTTTTACAGTTGCTTGCTGCTGAATCAGCACCTTCAGTTTAGATGAAAGGTACAGACAATTGTTAGCGAAGTTAAGTATGTGAAAATTCAGTCTTGTACCCTCATTTTAGGATTTAAAGGTTTGGGGTTTTTTTGCTTCAGATGGACTCTCCTAAGCTCTGGAAAAGCGGTGATTCTGAAAAATCATTAGTCTGCAAAGTAGAAATTAGTTGCTTGCATCAGACACATACATTGATATGCTGTCACATATACTGGTATAGGCAGAACTGTCATCTGTATTTGTTCTCCGTTTCCCATACAGATTTCCTGCCTACCTTTTCCTTGATCATTCAGATAGAGCATATCTGATACTCCCATGCTTCATTACTCTGCAAGCTCACCTGGCAACATGCTATGACCTTGCTATGCCTTGGCTAAAAGATAAGTACAAAAGGCATATGAGAAGGTTCTGGCATAATTGATAGCACAGGCTTGGGAGCACAGTGAAATGTCATTTGAGTTCTAGGCCCTTAAATTATGATCTGGGTGTGGAAAATGTATCCTCAGCTGTGTAATGACTGGCTGTAAATCAAAGGTTGTTAGAGACCTTTGGAAAGGACTTTTTTTTTGAGCACGTAACTACATTTTGACAGATGGTATACAATAAAAGAGACATAGGCTATCTTCAGGGTGTTCTGAGCTTCCTCTGCTAATAGTGTGTGAATTTCAGGTGATAGCCAGGCTATGTGAGTGAAGATGGCTTTCACAGCTGTGGGAGTGTGATTACGTAGCTTCATTTCTGAAAAACCAGGAGAGTTGCAGCAACTTTAGGAAGTTGGTGGGAATGACACACAATCTTGAATTTCTCTGTGTAATGCATTCCTCAACTTGTTGAGGTAGAAAGGAGGTTAGGCTTTGCCTGAGAAAGTAGCGTCAGTGACTGAATAAAAGTGATTAGGAAAGGTTTCTAAAGGAAGAAAAACTAGCATCTCAAGGGTGAAGCTCATGGTGAAATTAGATGTAAAGGCATGTCTTGTTCCCAGAAACAAATAAAGGAATAAGTATCTTCAACGTGTCAGTGCTGCAAATAAGAGTCCTTTAATAATAGTATAATTGGGGTTTATTTGTCCAAATTTAATTTGGTACCTGCATGTGTGATATATTAGATGATGCATGTATAGTGCCATTTATCAGATAAGGAATATTCAAGAAGAGTTTAACAATTCAAGGTTCACTGGCTTCCTTGAGATTCCTGTTAGTGATATGTGGTATGTAGTGATATGTATGTATTTATATAATATTTCATAGGATTATAGAATGATTTGGGTTGGAAGGGACCTGGAAGATTATCTAGTTCCAACCACCCTGTCATGAGCAGAGGTACCTTTCACTAGACCAGGTTGCTCAGAACACCATCCAAACTGGCCTTGAGCACTTCCAGGAATGGGCCATCCGCAACTTCTCTGAGAAATCTGTTTCAGTGCCTCATTTGTCAGTCTGCAGCATTTTTTTGTAAGTGAAGATCCTGTTGAATTCAGTTGTAGATGAATACTTAGCGTATCTGAAGTTAAACTCTCGTCTCAAGCCAACCATGTAGGAAATTATGAATGTAAGCTATTGACCACTTGTGAAAAGCATTTTGAAAATGTGATTTAAGAATAAAAAAGGTCCTAGCTGGCCAGGATTGTGTCATAATTGATGAAAATGAGGCAGAATCCCATTCTGTTCCTGAGCCCTACACAATTATTTCTGTGCAGTCTCTGTACTAAGTCACCCCATGCTGTTTTCTCTTGTCAAGTCTCCTGCCCTCCCCCCACTTTTCCTTCATAATCTTCTAGAATCCAGTCAGGCTTTTTTTCCCACTTCACATGCTGGCAGTTAGATACTAATATTACTTTCCAAAAATAGTCTTCCAGAAGCTTTCAAGAGCACGGATTACATTTTGATCTATGTTGGTAAAGTCACATGCATGTTTAGAGTGCTGATATCAGTAACAGTCCAGAATGAAAAGGAATTTAAGTTTTGTCTTTTCTTGCTCAAACTGTCATGAAGTATGTGTTCCTGCAAGAAAGTGTTGGGTTTTTTCTCACTGTAAACAGCATATGCCTTCTATGTCTTGAGACCATGCTGTTAAGATTCTTGCCATGTCTGCTTTTACTCAAGCATGTACGTGCCCTTGGCAAGTAGTCTTAAACTAGTCGAGTCATGATCATAATTATTTCAGCAGCTGCAGTATCTGTTTATCGTCCAGTAAGAATGTACTAAGGAAGCAATTAAAAATTGATCTATAATTAGAGGAAACCCTAAATAAGGGATTTATTTTCTGAAGTCTATGAGGAGTTACTTTAAGATATCACTCGTGCTGCTGAAAGGGAATTGACTTTCCTTCTGGTCTCCTTTGGTCTTCCTCCAGGACACTGAAAGTGCTGCAGAGATTCCCCAACTGACTCATTAGTAGTTTATTTTGGGCTGGCTGGTCTGATCTGTTTCTCTGGACTTATTCTAGTGTGTTTATAGAACAGGCATTGCAATTGAGTTAAAAAATTAGCTTGTTCCTTTCTTTTCAGTGGGAAAAGCACCCTTACTACAACCTAACAGTGAAAGTCCTCCGAGCCAGAAACATCAGGGGTACAGATCTGTGTAAGTATTTAGTCAAGGTATTATGAAAACAGGTTGGTTGGTCAGTGCATACCTCTAACACAGGCAGCATTGTTAAGGGAGCTTCTTACTTACACATACTGTATTGCCTTTATGTCTGAACAAAAGCTTCTCTTGTAAAGCATTATGTATACTTTAAAATCTTGATGTGAGCCAAGCTGCAGATTAAGCGTGCTACTTTGCAGAACAAGATCAACTCCTGATAATGTTTTTTTTCCCTGCTCCTACACCTGTCCTACTGTGACCTATTCTGTATTCCTTTATCTGGATTCAACCCTCTGGTCATGACAAGTTTCACCCTTGCTCCTGCTAAACAGTCTTCATGAACCTGGAAATAGAAATCTTCAATTCTAACTTCCAAATGTTTATTTTCTCAGCTGTACTAGTGCTTTATTTCATGTACCTGCTATTTGCCATTGAAGCCTTTAAGGAAGTAGGTAGTTGACTGATTCCAAGACAAGCTGCTTTTTATCTGTTCCTGTTTTTGATAGCATGGTATATATTTCCTTCCATTTACACATCTAAGTAAAGATCTCAGGAATGTTTGAGGTATTTGGATCTTTAAAACTCATTTGAGATTTAATTACTTCAGATTTAATCCAGTAAGGTAAGTTTAATGCCTTAAGTTTATATCTGGCATCCAGCACTGAACTACTTGGAATGCTAAATAGCTGTTCAAGGAATGGAAAACCCTCCTGAGAGGCTGAGGGATAGATTCACACTGTGAAGAGTTCTTTTTCATGGCCTATCTGTTCAGCTGGAGTGAAGACCTGTTCCCATACTTGCATTGAAGAAGGGACCCGAACTGGAAGAAAGAACTCAAAGACAATCAGTTATTTTCAGGGAATGGAAACAGACAGCTCAGCTCCTGGCCAGACTAAATGAAGGTATAGCAGTGGTGGATGTTGTCTACTTGGACTTTAGTCAGACTTTTGACACTGTCTCCTATAAGATTCTCATAGAGAAACTGATGAAGTATGGGCTGGATGAGCAGACAGGGAGCTGGACTGAAAGCTCAGAGGATGGTGATCAGTGGTAAAAAAACTGGAGTATCTCTCATATGAGGAAAAGCTGAAAGATCTGGGGCTACTTAGTGACACAGTGGAGGATTCAGGGTGATATCATTGATATGTACAAGTATTTAAAAGGAAGGTGTTAAGAGGATGGAGCCAGGCTCTTTCAGTGGTGCCCAGTGACAAGACAAGAGGCAATGAGCCTGGTATCAGCAGTAATCATTTTTCAAAATTTGATCTTCCTCATTTAAAATAGTAGTTTCTTTTATTAAGGGCTTTATGATTTGGATGAACCAGAAAAAAAGAAATATAGGTACCTAATATTCAATTTGCTGCCCTTTGAGAACATGTACTTCATTAAAGGCTTTTGCTTTAGAAGTCCAGTCTTAAATTTGCACTTTTCTATGATGCAATGAGATCTAGAAAATGAGGAGTTTATGGGAAAAGTTACGTTTGATTAAAGTCGTTCTGACGTCTGTCTCTGCTCTCTCTGCTGTAGTGTCCAAGGCAGACTGCTATGTGGAACTAAAGCTGCCCACTGCATCTCCCATAGTCTCCCGAACTCAGGTTGTTGACAACAATGATAACCCAGAATGGAATGAAACTTTCCGGTATCGAATCCATAGTGCTGTCAAGGTAAGGAGTGCACTTTGTGGAGCTGGTTGGACTACTTGTGTTTGTATACTGGCTTACTTTTGATACTTCATTCAAACCAGCCCTCAAAACCAGTGTTGCTTGGAAGGTGTCAGTTGCCTTCAGTGGTACAAAAAGCTGTACTATGCATGTCCAGTGATAACCACAGCAGTTTGTAACTGCACTCTTGTGTAAATAGCAGCTAGAATGTTCCGTAAACATCCTTGTGATGCAACTCAGGAAGGGGAATTTATGGTACTACCTGGTAAAGTTCAAGGAAATTTCGTGATAAAACAAATTTCTATTTGATGTTTGCTTCTACTTTCACAGTGTAGCTGTCTGAATGAGGATAATGGGAACCAAATTTCTACTCACTGCCACTAGTTCGTGCAGTCAAGTTTTGCCAGCAGTTCTTATGATGAAGAAAACCAAAAGTCAAACTCTTGGATAGGGACAGTACATCTGTCTGCTGTCTGTGCAGGACCTAGTAGAGTATTGAAAAAAGTCTTCAGATTGTCAGCATTCATTCTCAAAGTAGCCATTAATGGTAGAGGGAAGGAAACTGTACTTTATAAGGTCAGTTTTAATATGGTACTATTACTTTGAATAACATCCTAGGCTTTGGAATAAGGTGCTTATTAACAAGAAACTATCCCCCTCACTGGAGTACCTTTCCACAATGGTTGGTGACAAATGTGGAATGCTAATTGGCTTAAATGGTAAGAAAATTGAAAGCTAAGCTTTAGTGTTTAGCTTTTCTTCCCCTGCAGACTTATGAGGCCTCAGTCTGGTTACTGCTATGAGACTATACTGGCACAATTTTACGTTTAGACTTGTCTCCTTGAAAACTAGTTGCTGCAGTGCCATTTTTTTTTGGATGCCTTATGTACTCATTGTGTCTATTTCAGTTAGTTTTTCTTCAATTTACCAGCTCTGAGACAGTGCCAAGCGGGAAGTGATCAGTCCCTTTAACATCCTGGACTGAATCGTGCTAGAAGAGTGGAAATTTCTATTGCTTCCTCAGGCAAATCTGTACCTGAAGTGGGTGGAAAGTACTGTCACATGCATTCAGCTGGAACCTCTCTCTAGTTGGAAAGCTCAGAAAATATTTTAGCTACATGTTGTCAACTAGGAGCTTTTTTTTCTTAACTATGCTGTAAGCCCTGCTGAAAATAGTGAATTTTCTTCAGGAATGGGAAAGGTATTGATTAAAGCACAGAGTGTCTACTGTATACAGATACCCAGGAAGTGTTTGTTCTTTGATCTTAGGCTGTTTGTTTCTGTTTGGTTTTAGAACATTCTGGAGTTGACACTCTATGATAAGGATGTCCTTGTCAGCGATGAGCTCACGTCTATTGTCTTCGATGTAGGGGGCATGAAGCCGGGTCGGCCCCTGCTGCGCACTTTCAGGTTGAACCCTGAGGTTAGTCCCTGGCTCAGCTGTGAATAGCTGCAGCTCATCATTACAGATATCTGGCAGTATGTGCTGGTTGACTTGTCTGTGTTGTAGAAGCTAGAAGAGAAAAATGAATCAACAGGTGATGACAGCCTATGTGGTTTTACTGTCAACTGGGATGTTTCTAAAATCCCTAGTGATTTTATGTTTTCTCCACAGCCTTTGGCATGACTCAGCTAAATAAAATTTGAGATTACTGCTCTCATTCTGAAGATGTTAAAACATCTTCATTTAAAGGGAATTGATTTTTCATGAGACTTAGAGGAACATAAACTGGTTTTAAAATGAAAGACATTTGCAGTCAGTAATCATTATAGACTGTGTTATTTGGTTTGGCATCATCAGTTTGCGGAAAAGAAGTTTATTGCTGCAAAGGTTAGCTCTATATCTAATAAGTCCGAAGTCTAAGAAAAGCTTATTTTCTCTGAACTATGTTCAGTACCTTAAACCTCTGCTTTATGTGGGTGATGTGTGTATCAGCTGCTCTCAAATCCTGTGCACCTGTTTATGGACTTACAACAAGACAACCTGTTTTACATAGATAAAGCCACATCACCAATCTGATCTATTTTGTAAATACCAGAAACACATTGCTACAACAGATCAGGATTAAAGGTGAGCTAATAATGTGTTTTCTTGAGAAACTGGGCTTCAATACTGTTGGTGTGGTCAGAAGCAAGATAACTGGTATGTAGTTCTCAGGGAGACATTGGGGAGTGGCACAGGCACTCCAAATGATTTGTCATCATGGAAAGAAGCTTAGTAACTCCCTTGTTCCCACTAACTCTACCAATTTACTAAATGCTTAAGTCATCTTGATCCATAATTGTGGATCTGAAAATTCCGACTTTAGTAAAGAAAATTACCCAAGTTGGCTTCTACTTGGTTATTTTAAAAGCTGCATTATGTCTGGTATCAAATATTTACTATATGTTATGGTAGGAGAAAAGATGGATGGATCAAAGTCTGTAGAAGACAAATAAAGCAATGACCTAAGAGTGCAAGCTCCTGAAATGATAATAATTATTGGGAGGTAGCACAAAACCTCATGTAGAAGGTATTTGCAGAGATGGCACTGCAGTGGGACTTGAGCCAGAGGAGGGTTTTCTTCTCAAAGCAGAGTAATGGATCTGAGAGCCAAATCTCACTTGTGTGCCCTTGTATCTTCAAACATAGATGTGTCTGGTCATATAGGATATGTCCAGGAGGAGAGGAGTGTTTAAAGAACAATAAGAACAACTAAAGGCATAAATTTAAATATTTCAAAATTTAACTGGAACTTTTATAAAAGCCCTTACTTTAACAGGAGGTTACTATAAGTATGTAACAGGAAGAAGGCTTAATCTCTTGGAAAAATGTCTCATAATTATATATTCAAGATAAAGGGTCACCAGTGTCCAACTTTTGTTTTCAAAGGCTAATGAAGAGCTGGATGTAGAGTTTTACTTGGAGAAATGGTGAGTCTTCCGTGAAGAGCTGAATGAAATTGAGCTCTGAAAATATGTTGTCTTCGTTACTTTTTCTGTGCAGGGACAGTCTTGCCCATAGAAAGGCTAATGCTTTATAGTTCCCCGTGGTGTTTGAGTTGATTCATTAAAGGTTGACCACGAATATCCTTAATGCTCCAGTCATCAAAACTTTTGGGGTACCAAAAAAGAAAGAAATTTTGCTGGACTTCATGTGAAGTAAATGAACACTTTGTGGATTAGTTACTTAGGAGTGGAAAGCTTTCACAGTTCACCATGTGAAATACACAGATGAGTATTTAATCTGTCTAATAGCCTATCTAAGCTCAGCTTTTCTCTAAGTTATCACAATAACTGAGATGGGGAGATCTTATAGCACGTGCTTATAGTTGCAGACAAATTTTTTTATTTCCCAACCTCCATTGTTCTGTGAAGGGATATATGCTTGGTGTTTGCACAGATATCCCCCAGTGAGGGCCTTTTTACCCCACTGCTTATCCAGGCAGTTAGTTTGCAAAGTAGGATGAAGCAAATTAGAAACAGAACTCATTTACGTTAAATCTCTTGCTTTCTCAGCTCAGATGTCCCTACAGAGGTATTGACCAATGGAGTCCTTGTGGTGAGTACATGGAAGTCAGAATCATATATGTTGTGATTTACTCCAGAAGGTAAGTTTTTAGTAGCAAGAATTGTTGAGTGTTCCACTCCTGCTTCCAAATAGCTCCTATTCTCTCCAGCATCTACCTTTCTTTTTTCAATTTGTTAATTTAAAATCTTCCTCAATTTTTAAAACTTGATAGTAACTCGCAGAAAGGTGTGGCTTGTTTTTTGTTGTTGGGTTTGGTTTTTTTTTTCCAGTAGGGCTGCTATAAAAAATGTAAACAAAAAATGTCTTTATGAGGCAAGTGAGTCTTGAAGATGGTATCGTGTTTTCTAGCCTAGATGCTGGCCAGGTATAGTCCCTCTTCTAATTTTAATACATATTACTTCAAAGCTTTTATCAATGCCATTACTAAGTAGGTGTTGCCTCCCTGTTCTCTTGGGTGAATCAATCTAAGAAAATCCGTGTGTTATATGTTAAAAATAAAGGTATTACTACCTCTTTTCTCCCTCCAAAGAAAAGGGACTGGTGTCATGTTTTTTGTAAGGAGAAAAGGATAATGGTCGAAATGTAGAGTTTTAACTTTTTTTTCCTGAAAAATTGGTGGCACTTAACAGCACAGTTCTGCAAACTATTTCACAGGAGAGAAGCTTTTGTGTTCCAATTTGCCTTAGCAAATTAGTCTTACATTTAGGCACTGGAGTAGTTTCTTTTAGGGCAATTGTGGCCTACTAAGTATCTTACCTACTGTCCTAGAGGGGTGATGATTGAATGGTGTGAGAGACTAAATTTTATGAGGACATGGACAAGCTGGGAGAGAAAGTCATGGCAGAATTTACGAAGTGCTTACTTCTGAACAGGTTCTGAATAGGTACTCACACATGCATTAAAAAAAGGTAAAAAACCAGAAAAACCCCAGGTGTTGACAGCTTGTAACTATGAAGTACTGGTTGCAAAAAGCTCCAGTAACTGGAATAAGGAGAGTGGTTTTGATTTTGAAACAAGAGCAAATAATCCTGTCCTAGTGAAACAAAACTTGGTCTTTATTTGAAATAACAAAACAATCCTTAGTGGGTTTTTTTGACAGCTTGCATCTGTAAACCTACACCTCATATAGTAGGTAGATTAAACTTCAACAAAGAAGTGAACTAAAAATTGTATAACCAGAGCTGGTTTCTTTTTTACATAGGTTCATCCTTGCTTGTCTCTGCAAGGCACTGTTAACAAAGGGGAAAACACAAAAGAGAAACAGCAAGGTAGGACTGCCTGTAGAGTTGAAGTCAGCACTACTTTTCATCATATTTATTCCTTGGGAGAGAAGGGACACTTGATTCTCTGTCTGTACAGTGCATTTTAATTTACTGACTACAAAATTTACTTTTTAAGTCAATTTTGCTTTTATTTTTAATACTTAATAATATAGGGTCACTTCTACTGAGTACCACACAATAGTTTTTGCTTGTGTTTTCATAGTCTCAGCTACACTTAACAAGTTCTTGATTTTCAACATTTATTTAAATGGCTCCTGTGATCTAAACTTGTTTTTCTAATGCACAGGGTGCTGTGAAGTTAAGTTGTCTGTCCCAGGGGCATATCAAAAGCAGTTGAGTATTCCTTGGACACCAGATAATGAAAAGCATTATGGAACCTCATTTGTTTTTCATATGGATAAAGAAATGTGTCCAGAACTGCAAGTGCAGCTGGAGCAAACCATATCTGTTCTACAGGTAAGCATCCATGCTGATTACTACAAAATTTACAACCCACTTTTGAGTAAATCCACTCCGAAACTGGTGACTTTATTTCCATGAAAATGTCCTTAAATATAAATTGAATGGCCTTGATTTGATCATAAGAGGGCCAGAGACTTCTTCAGATGTTCAGGGATGTCAGTTTTTGGTTTTTATTCAGGTACCTGTGGATGTCAAAAGCTTGCATTAAAGGAAGTCTCTTATGAAGTAAAATATTTGTGTGGTGCTAGGGACCAACTATTAAAAAGGCTACTAGTCACTTCCAGATGTACCTTTTGGATGCAGCTTTGTAATATTGTAACTGCTCAGACCAAAATTTTCTAGGCTAGAAGCTTGCCTTTAATGAATGTATTTTTTTCTGGGCATGTATTAGGAATTTATGGGCAGAGAGATAAGTTTATCTATCATTGTTTTTTACACAGTACTATTTTTTTTGTTTTAAAATGTCAGACTTTGCATTGTGTCTTTGACATTGCGTAAGGAGGTGAAATTGTCTTAAAAATATACACTCCCCAACAATTTAAAATTTCTTCAAACTCAGGGATTAAAGAAATTTAACTCTGTGCATGCTTGCTGCATGAAGATACTCTATAGGAAGTCCTTTCTATTAGAAACTTGTAAATCAGTTGTCACTTGTAAAGGTTTATTTAGCTTTGTCTATTACTTTGCAGTCTGTACAAGTACCCATGCAGCGTGTGCATCCTATTGGAGTGACTGAATATTCATTGTGATGACTGTTGCCACCAAAAATGAGAGCAAGGAAACTCTTTATTCTATGATATTTTTCATGCCCACAAGCTGTTGGGCAGCATGATTGCAAATGGTGATCTTGACTACTCTAGAGGCAACTATGGAGAAGAGGACACAAGGAAGTATATGGAAGAATAGGTTTGACATGGGGTTGTTTAGGCAGCAGACGTGAGCTGAAGAGAGAGACCTGGACTAAAGTGGTCAAAGACTCAGAGCTGGGCAAGCAAAAACACAGTAGAAGTCAACCATGGAGATTGGAGCAGGTGGTAAACCTCAGCCCAACCACCTTGGCTAGCAGAACATACTCCTTCAGTGGCTGGCATAGAGCATGAAAGTCTGACCTTCTCTTATCAGAGGTAGGAGAGTACCAGGAACGTGGTAGAGTTGCTTGCCCTGTACCTAAATGCATGTTATTTTCCCCTGTTAGGAGGAGGAGGACAGTGAGCTTAGTCAGACATTGGACTCGGGACAGCTGTTATTGGTCAGAAAACATCTGTGAAATCTATGAGTAGTTCCTTGTCTGACTTCAGTTCTTGGTGTGAGAAGGGTGACAGCCTGTTGTTCCTTCAAGATACTGTCTCTTCCCAAGGGTTGAGCCCTGTGGTGGATGTATGGGCTCCATCCCACTGGTAGGCTGTGTAGGTTTGTGTGTGACCCTCTGATATGAGGTTTTTTTAGTATATGTCTTTTAAAGTTAGGAATCTGCACACAGCTCAGTATTGAGAGCTTGTCACTTGGTACATGGGAGAAAACTCAAGGATTTCCTGGCAAACTTTAATTTTCTCTGCTTTTAAAATTGATTAGGTTTTGTAAATTACATGCTATCATTTGTCCCTAGGGAAACTATCTTATTGCTTATTTTGTAGTATTTTTTATGTATGTCTCATGCTGTTACTTTGTTGGTATCTTTTCCAAATCCTGCTTTGAAGACAGATTGCAAGAACACAACTATTTTTGGGGAAAGTTTTGTACTTGAAGGTGAAGATTTTTTGCAGACAGGTATATTAAAAAAAGCAAAGAACAACAAACATATAACCCCCCCTAAACAAACAAAAACCAAAAAACCCCATTTGAATGAAAGAAATATCCTGACAAAGATCTGTCAAGCAGAAAGCAGGATGCTCTTGAGAAGCCTTAGACTTTTGGGAAAGATTTAGCTGTAGTGATATTAAGAATTGTTTGCTGTTTTGACATATGAAAGTCATACCTTTAACTTTTTTTCTGTGCAGCCCAATTAAGATTTTGTTTTTTATTAGGATGGTGTGAACCCTGATGTTGAAAAGCATACTACAGTTCTGGGATTGGGAACTGTACCAGTTAATTCCCTTCCTATTGGAGAAAAAGTTGATAGAAGCATTTCTTTGGGAGAGGTAATGTCAATATTTTGCATTTGTTTTAACATGCATGGGATAACTTTTTCCTCCAATGCCTTTAGGCATGTGGAAAGTTAGGCTACATGTGATTCTCAGGAGTGCTGTTTTCTTGGATATGTAGAATGAAATAATGGGATTACTCAGTGAAGTTCTTCTAAAAATGTTTTCACAGTGGGGTCTTGCAAAGTAAGTATGAAGTTCATCACTTTCTAGAGCAAAAAAGTCTGTCAGAGTGTGAAAGAAAATTATGAGAGGAGGAGAAAAGCAAGACACTTGCAGAAGAAATAATTTCTTTCACGCTGCTCTCTGAGTATGTTTTTGCTTTCTGTGGAGACTATTGAAAATGTCTGAAATAGGTGCAAGGGAAAGGTGTTCCAGAGATGTCATTTTATGAGAGAGAGTACTGTTCTGGTTAATATCTGATGACTCTGTTGATGTCATAACCTCTGTTTAGTAGTTCCACCTGTATAATTGCTATCAGTTGTAAGATGTGTTTGCTCTTTTCACAGGGACAAAGTCTGGATATGAGTTTGAAAACTGAAGAGAGGTGAGTGGGAACCTCAAGTCCTTTAAAAATGAGGGAAGGGCCTTTATTCTGAGTGACTGTCCTCAATTTTCTGGTGAGATGTCTTCTCTCCACTGATCTTTTGGGATAGAATAAAATAAAATATCTTTGATTATTTTTCTTCTTAAAGCTCTGACTCTTCAATTTCCAAATACTATCTAATGTACTGGTGTCAGTACTGCTGAGAGCTGTACAAATTTTGTGTTCCTAATACTTAAATGTAAAATAGCTGATGATGTAAATATTAAGTAGTTTTGTTAGGTACAGATACTTCCCAAAATATATTCAGTCCTGTACTGACAAATAGGAAGGGACACCTCTGTGTGGGAAGAGCCTGAACTATAAAATAGATGCAGGGTGCAAGAAAGGAGTAAAAAGGAAAGAATAACTGAAAACCAAGCAGTTGGCTAGTAAGTTGATAAGGTCATTTAATATACAGTCGTCTGAAGATTCTGCTCCCCTTTTATGAACTCATAGCAAGTTAATTGAACTGCAATTGCAGTTGCCCCCTTCTGCCTCTTAAGTTCAGAAATTTCTGTTTTAAAATTGCTTTTCCCCTCATTTCACCATTCATATCAATACAATGATGTCAGTTGCTCCTCATACAATCTTCTTCACCTACTGAGAATATTTTCTTCCTCTGTGAAATTCCTGAAGCTTAATTTGAATACCGTTTGATGCAAATTTTGAATTTAAACATTAAGGGAGAAATACAGTGTGGAGAAGTTTCATTTTCAATTCCAAAAGCTGTCGTACAAAATAGCTGGTGTATATACTAAAATTTCATCTAATAGTTTGATCCAGTAATTCAGATCAGCACCCAGATTTTGTGTTCACAAAAATTTCTTTTCGTGCAAATTACAAATCCTCCAAAATCTGGGTGTGTTTTTGCTTGACTTCTATTTCAGCACTTGGGATCTTGATATACGTCTGGGTTTCGACCTCTGTAAAGAGGAGAGAGAATTTTTGGACAAAAGGAAGAAAGTAGTTTCTGAGGCACTGAGAAAGAGTCTTCACTTAAAAGAATCCCCTCCGAAAGATGAGGTATTGAGCACGGTGCTGTAGTGAGATTGATAAAATCCTTTATGCTTGGTTGATAATTAGAGGGTGTAAGAATCTTTGCTTATAACAGAAAACATGTTTTGCATTCACTGTGGTGTGAGATAGGTCCCTGGTATGTTTTAGTTTTGAAGTCTCAAATGTTGTTATATTTCTTAAATTTTGAGGGGGGTGTGTGTGTGTGTTTTGGAATGCAAAACATTGAAATTTCAGAATGTATGCACTTTCTTTTGTTGAACTCTTGTATCTTGGGTTTTAGACTTGGAACTGTGATGGGAAAGTCTGTCTCAGAATGTTTAAATTAAAGCTCAAACCACAGGAATAGCTTCCTAATTGCTTATTTGAGGACACTCTTATGTCTACATAGGCCATGGCCTGATGCCTTGCTTGGTGGTGTTTGGCTGCTGTTATAAGAATAGTTGCCTTTTTTGTGCTCATACATATATTGTATGAAAGTAAATGTGTGATAGTATACATAACAGTTTCAGTAAGTGACTGTCCCTAACTGACCCTGCTGTTTTATAGTAAACAATATATTTCAATTACAAAATAGGGAAAGGAGTTCTGCTTGAAATCAAACCTGAAATCACTTGAAAAGTAAATAGAAATATTGATTTTTGTATTTTTTATTTTTTTTTTTAATTTGAGTGAGACTTGAATGGGATTAGTTCTATAATTCATTGGCAATCAAAAGTCTGTGGTTGTGACTCCTGAGTTTGCTGTCTGCAGGTTCCAGTCATAGCAGTACTGGGGTCTGGAGGTGGGATGAGAGCACTGACATCGTTCTATGGCAGTCTTGCTGGACTTCAGCAGCTGGGCCTTTTGGATGCTGCAATATATCTGAGTGGGATTTCTGGCTCTACTTGGTAAGCTGTATGCAGTGTTGGCTACAGAAACTTAGTGTTGATGCAAAATAAAAGCAAAATTGCATTTGTACCATCTGTAGTCAGGCAGCAAAGTCTGATGTTTTATCAGTTTTCACCTGTAAGACTCCTGAAGAGTTTAAGGGATTCATTATCATGTCCAACCCATGCAGCTGCTGGTTAAATTTATGAATCTGCTGCTTGTGCAAGTCTGACAGTTGAATATTAGAATGTATTACATCAATAAAGCTGCTCAGAGCACTGACTTAAAAAACCCTCCTCCCTTCTCTACTCTTGCCAAGAAGATAACTGATGTGGTGCAAGTCACTGGAAACATGTCCACATGGGCCACTATGTCATCACCTTCCAAAATGGTGTAAGTGGCTGAAGAGAGACACAGCACTGTTTTGCCTTTTGGTGGACTGGAGCAACGTGCTGAAATGTTAGACATGGCTAGAATGTTTCAGTATCTCAGTTCTTAAAGTCTGTGATGAAGTCATCCCTTTTAAGTACACGTTGTTTTTGTGAAATGATTTCACTGAGGAGTTGTGCAACCTGACAGTGTAACCCTCCCTTCCAGACCTTTGTGTGTTAAATTAACTCCTATGTACCTGGTTCTCTTCCACTGACCGTGTGATCTGGCAGGCCCTTTTTGACTCAGAGACACTTCCAAACAAATGTAGCCAGTGGTCCAAACTAGTTTTTTCTTTAATCAGACCTGTGTTCTGATGAAGGCTGTGGCCTCTATTGCTGCATGAAGTAACACCCTTGCTGTCAGCCAGTCTATTGTAGTTTTTATGGTCTGGAGTTAACTCAGGTTTATGAACTGGTTTATGTGTGCCTGCATATGATGCTTGGAGCATCCTTGGAAGGCAAGTTATCAATTGGGATGAAGTTGTCCTGTAGGTGTCAGGGTGTCCAGCACATTTTAGAATTCAGAGAGCCTTTATTTATGGACTCTCTACTCTTCATGATGTTTGACTTTCAACTAGACTTCTCAAGTGCTGCAACACTAATTCTAACTAGCTAAAAGTATTCTTTACACGAGGATCTTTGTTACTGATGACATTAATATAAGCATTTTCAGGTGTTTATCGACACTGTATCAAGACCCCAACTGGTCACAGAAAGACCTTCAAGATGCAATCAGAAGAGCTCAGGATGCTGTGTCCAGCAGCAAAGGAGGGGCATTTTCCCCAGAACGACTGAAATACTATTTCCAGGAGCTGAATGCAATGGAGAATAGTGGACGGAAAGTTTCCTTTACAGATTTGTGGGGCCTTATTGTGGAATTTTTCCTACAGCAGAAGGTAAAAGGGTTTATGTTTGGATGTGTACTGCTTTTTGTCTTCTGGGTGGGAGCTCTACGTACCTACGTGTTTTATTTCAAGAAACCAATTACTCTCCACCTTTGTAAGCTGTTCTGGCATAGACAGCATTGTGCAATAAACATAGTATCTTCTTTGTTCAGGAATTTTCAAGTCATACAGTGCTATAGAAAAAAAAACTGTGTTTTCTTGGAATGACTATTATTAAATTAATAGCTTTTATATTGGGCAGGTTAAACCTGAGAGAATGATATTAGTTTTGCAGAATGGCATTACTGTGCAGTATTTTCTATGTAACTGAGACTGGAAATCAGAGGGATATTGAGTTCATTAATAACACTAGACATTCTAAGTATGCAACTGCAGAAATATTTTGGCCAAATCTAACCATGTGTCTCGACAGTGGGACAAAAAGGGACTTTGAATTAATAGTATTGTTAATCAGAAGTGCTAAGCAACAGCTTCCAGTTATCAAAGTATGGGTACAGAACTTGCCTGAGTGTGCTTCTCCTTCCCTGCTTGTGACCAGGAAGACCCATCAAAGCTGTCTGATCAGCAAGAAGCAGTGAAATGGGCCCAGAACCCTTACCCTATCTATGCAGCTGTCAATGTGAGACCCAATATGAGCAGTGGTGACTTTGCAGGTATACAGAAATTTATTTTTGTTTGCTAAAATCAATAAATTCCTTTCACCTATCCAGTTCCTTGGGTAGTGAGCAGCTGACAACAGGAAATGTGGCTCAAGCAGCAGTTGGTAGTGCAAGAGGCAACAGAATACTGATTGGCAGAGTGTTATCATCTTGATAGCAAATGTCTTCATCATGGCTAAAATAGAGAAATGAGATTCAACATTGTTGGCTACTCCACATGTTTTGCTAGAAACTGCCTGAAATTTTCAGGAGCTGAGAAGATTCCTATAATACACGTCTGTGTCTGAATCAGAGAATTAGAGTCCTTAGTAATTAAGTGACCACTTTCTTTTTAAGTCTCAGATAAATAAATAATTTTTGTAGGATTCATGTAAAATGATGAATTGGCCACCTTGTAGTTTGCATCATCAAAATTATGGATTTTAGAAGCTTGAGTTCTTACAGTAAAAAAATGGAAGGCCAGTCCTTCACTGAAACTTTAAACATGATGCAACAATTGGGGATAGATACAGGAGACACAATCACAAGTGTTTATGTCCATCTGTGTACCTCTAGGGGACTTTTGTTTATTTTATTCTGGAGGAGTTTGAATTAATTTGATGTCATATGAATTTGTGAATGAATTTAATTTGATCAAACCTGCCAGAGTTCAAGAAGCATTTGGGTAATGCTTTCAGACACATGCTGTGTTTTTTTGGATTGTTCTGTGCAGGGCCAGGAGTTGGACTTGATGATCTTTCTGGTTACCTTTCAGCTATTTGTAGAAATCTTTCAGGCAGGAGGGGACTTTTTGATAGGCAGACAATGAAGACTGACACTGTGGGCCAATCGAGTTTTCAAGTTAGTACTGTAGTAGTTTCTGAGAGATGGTATGTAGTGTGAAGAAAAGCTGAGAAAAATGAAGTAACTTCCGTTTGGGATGGAAAAGGGAGCCATCAAAATGGTTTAAAGTAAAAGTAAAATAGGCAGCTTGTTTCTCTAGTGGCAAACTCAGGATGGAGCAAGATGGGATGAAAGCCTGTACAAGAGTTTTTGTTAATAATAGATGATTTTTTTAATTAATAATAGATAGAGGCTTACTGAGAAGAGAGGCAGGGAAATCCATAGTGATCATGAAAAGTGTAGGGAAACTCCCTTCTGTCTCCCTTGTGTGAACAATACCAGATAAATATTTTTGCTTATGTTTCTTCTGAGATGAGTAAATATCCTGCTGACTTGTTCTTAGAATGGTGTGAGTTCACTCCTTATGAAGTTGGATTTCGCAAATATGGAGCTTTTGTCAGAACAGAGGACTTTGACAGTGAGTTCTTCATGGGACGACTTATCCAGAAACATCCAGAGCCCAGGATTTGTTTCCTACAAGGTATGATCTTATGGTAATGATTAAAATGAGGAGATGGAAAGGAACCATGCTGCTTTCAGGACTCATGGGCTTAAGTCCATGCCTTTTTGTCCCTTGCTAAAGAACTTGAAGTAAAAAATATCAAGTCTTTCTCCAGAGTTTTAGGTATTGGTTCATAATATTACAGTCTGATGTCCTGAGTCTGCAAGATGACTCTATTATGAACTGCCTGTCAAAAATGTCTGCTGTAGGTCTTCCTCTACTGTCTTTTTGGTGTTTTTCTCTAGGAAAAATTTCCGCGTTATATTTTTAAATCAGAATTTGTTACATGATTAACTCAAACATCACCTGTTAGAATAGTAGGGATCAAGTGACAGCCTTCTCCCATGACAAATGGCAATGGAATTATAGACCTTTTGGTTACACTGTGTAAAGCCTTTTGAGTACTAAATTCTTCCACATGTCTCCTGCAGGAATGTGGGGCAGTGCTTTTGCGGCAAGCTTGGATGACATCTGCCTGAAGGTGGTTGGTATAGGACTGAGCTTTCTAGATTCTTTCAAAGATGTTATAAAAGTTGTAGGTAAGAGCATACATGAAAAGAGCTGGATTTTTCAAAAGATTGCTGGTTTTGGAATAATCGCAATAATATGACTCAAAAATGTGCTGTGTGTAGTTTTCAAGAGTTAGCATTAAGGATGGATTTAGGCAGATCTCTCTTTTACCGTGTGTTATTCCCTTTGTTCACACATAAAGTGAAGAGAGGAATTACATTTTCTTTAATACACTTTCCTTTCCTTCTTTTTAAAAAAATTTGTATCTGACTGACTATAAATTTGGATGAGTTCTGGGAACTGTCTTAAACACATATTGCAGTGCAGGAGTTGTAATTGTGAGAAGAGGAAGAATAGAAGCTGGACTGCTAAGCAGGAGGTGGAAAAAAGGCTTTCAGTTTCTCCCTTGTCCTGCTTTTTGTAATTTTTGATAAACTGTTTGTATATTTATGCACTGATCTCCATTTATACATTGCCCCCCTAGCAGTGAAAAGGAAGTGTTTTAAAGGCTGAAAGTTATTCCTGTGCATAGTTATAGCCTTATAGTAACTAGTGGAAGAAGAGATTTTTTCTTCTCTGCCTTTGCAGCCCTAGTTGGCCCCCCACCCCACCCTTTTTGTTGTTGTGTAACTGTAAATGCTACTGTGTGTGCTTGACTGATGTTGTCTTATGTGACAGAAATTGTTGTCACTTGGTAACAAGGGTTTCTTTGTGTTTGTTTGAAATTAATATGGGCAATGATTTATGAGTAATGCTATATCCATTAAACAGTGCATGTAAATCATCCAACTGTGGCATATGCAGCTCATTTACATTTCATTGCAGTACTCTTATTGGAGGAGAAATTCAGCCCTAGGACAGCTGGTTAAATATTCTAGAAACAGGTCTGATTGAAATATTGGAGCTGGACAAGCATTTTGTTTGTGTTCTGCATCGTTCTGTGACTTCTGCAGATGACTGCCGAAGATTCCATTTCCGAGACCCAGCACGACTGAAGACTCGCTTGGTTATACCTGGGGGCCCCTTGCTACAGATTTTTCAGGATTTCTTCAAGTCCCGGGTCACATGTGGAGAAACCTTCAACTTCATGAAGGGATTGTATCTTCATAAAGATTATGTTAACATCAAGAAATTTGTGACTTGGAGAGGTAAATGAGTCTGTTTGTGTCTGGGATATTAAATAATATGTTAATACTTTGTCAATATCACAGAACATAAGTGAGCTTGACTTTGCTCTGCTGAAGTCAGGAAGTATACCCTTTCTTACCCTGTAGCAAAAAATTTGATCCACTGTGTTTGTTCTTTCATATAAGACTTCACAGGTCAATCTCAGATAAAGGTGCATGTTGGAATGTCTTTTTTCTTCTTATAACACTAGCATAAACTTTGTTTGTTGCTTTTACTGAGAGGTGTGTAATGAACCAATATAGTTACTTGCGTTACTTGGAGTATCTTACAGGTACTCATCTGGATGCATTTCCCAACCAGCTGACCCCCATGGAAGAGAACTTATATTTAGTGGATGGTGGCTTTTCTATCAACTCTCCCTTTCCTTTGGTACTTCAGCCAGAGAGGGATGTGGATGTTATCTTGTCATTCAATTTTTCCTGGGAAGCTCCGTTTGAGGTGAGAGATGTAGCAGAACATCATTACATGAACATAAAAGCACAGAACAATATTCAAAATGACAGCAGATCAGTTGATGTTCAATACACACTCTAACAAATAAATTAAAATAAATCCTTATGTATTTCATGGAATCATAGAATAACCTGGGTTAGAAGGGACCTTAAAGATCATCTGGCTCCAACCCCTTTGCCATGGGCAAGGACATCTTCCACTGGACCAGGCTGCTTAAAGCCCCATCCAGCCTGGTCTTGAACACCTCCAGGGATGATGAGTCCACAACCTTTCTGGGCAACCTGTTCCAGTACCTCACCACCCTCTGAGTAAAGAATTTCTTCCTAATATCTAAACCTACACCCTTTCAGTTTAAAGCCATTCCCCCTTGTCCTATCATTACATGCCTTTATGAAAAGTCCCTCTCCAGCCTTCTTGTAAGCCCCCTTTTGTACTGGAAGGTGCTGTAAGGTCTTCTCAGAGCCTTCTCTTCTCCAGGCTGAACAGTCCCAACTCTCTCAGCCTGTCTTCATAGGAAAAGACATTTCAAGCATTATTTTTCTCTGCTTTTTCCTATGAAGGTCACGAAGAGATAGAAAGTTGACAACTATAATAAGATTCAAAAATTTTCAGAAGCCTAAGTAGATTGTTACGTAAAATAAGAGCGTTTGTTTGGCTCATAAGATCTTTGTTACTTTGATATACACTTCTAAAGGAAAAGTGGTTATTGGTGATTTTCTTCATGCAACAAGTTATTTTATGTATATAAAAGTGTTCATTTTTAAGTGCAGAAAAGTCAAGGTGAATAGATTTAGATACATAAAAAATTTCAACTGCAACCTGATGTTTGCTAGCAGTTCTCAATTCTGCTCTTCATTCTTCTATATCACCAGCCAGAGAAATTGTTTCTGCTGATTTGAAGCTGAGGTTCTGTCACATTCCCCCCCCCCTTTTTTTTTTTTTTAGTCGAAGTCTCTTTCCCTTTGAGAATTGTAGTTAGATGATCTTAGAGGTGTAACTGGTATTCTGTTGCAATTATTTTTTTATTCTTTGACAACAGGTTTTAGAGCTGACTCAGAAATATTGTGAGGAGCGTGACATTCCTTTTCCAAAAATCAAATTTAGTGAGGAAGATGAAAAGAAGCCAAAGGAGTGTTACATGTTTGTGGATGATAATAATCCAAAGGCTCCAATTGTAGTCCATTTCCCATTAGTGAATGACACTTTCCAGAAATACAAGGCTCCAGGTAAAGGAACTATATCTTAAAGAGCTCTTGTAACAATCCTTTGGGTGTGTTGATGGGGAAAATTCAGTGCGTTCAGTGTTCCTCTTTTCATTCATCTTAGTATTACCCTGTAATTATTAAATTGTTATTTACCTATAAGGCAGAATGAATTTCCACTAGTTTTTTGGAAGGGAGAGTAGGAGAAGAGGCTGACAAAAAAATAAAATCTAAGGGCCGAAAGAATCAAAATTAGGCTAAATTTTTGCTTCTTTCTGAACCTTTCTGCCCTGATACTTGATTCTGTTACTTCTAGTTACTCTGAATATATAGGAAAGAACTAATAATCAGATTGTATAAGGAGTTCATTTGTTTACTGAATAAGAATAAACCACTAAGCAGCAAGGTATTGGGGACCAATCTGTATGTCAGATCATGTAACTTGTGTTAAGTGACCTGTGCCCCTGTAGTGTGAGATCAAGTGATAAATGATTCTTTCTTCATTTAATGTGATTCATATAGGCTGTAAAGTCTATCAAGCAAGAGTGCTGGGAAACATGATGCTATTTACCTTTTAAAGGAGACAGGCAAAAATCAATGTCCTTTTTCTCATATGAGGGAGAAAACAGCATCCTGAAGAAAACTGTTGGAATACATAGAAAAGAACATGCAGGACTGGTGCAGGCAAGGGGGATGTAAGGCACACTGTTAATGCTGTCTATATTAATACTGTAATGATTGCCAGGCCCTGACTGCATTTCCTCATCAAGATGAAGAGTTTCAAAGTGTTAGGCTTGAATGTGACTTGAGACTTTCATTTCTCTAAGAGCAACAAGCAAAGTGTTATTAGCAAACTACTTTAATGTTCACCTTTCGAAATGGTATTTAAATTTAAGTGGCAGGGTGCTAAAAAAATCAATTACCATATTTTGAGGAGTTTATACTAACGTCCTAAGGGCAGTTGAACTCATGATGTGTCTTTTATTTTAGTGCAGAGCAGTACTTCCAGGAAGAATTGAGCTTTATATTTCCTATTTTAAGCATGATTGTAGATGAACTAAACAATTTATCACAATGGAAATGTATTTTGGAACCTAGTGGAAAGAGGCTCCAAATAATAGCACTTTACCTTCAGCTTCCAGATATTTTGGAAGGAACTGAAGTCTCTGCAGAGGAGCTTTGGGGAAAAAGTTAAGGTTCAATAGAATTATCTGTGATATACTCCTAATGGAATTGAACTAAAAGGAGTCTTCCATGGCTGGGGGGTTTTTTGTGATTTTTTTTTTTTCTTTCTTGTTGCAGGAGTTGAACGTGAGTCAGAAGAAGAGAAATCCTTTGGTGACTTCATCATTGAGTCAAAGGATTCTCCTTACCGTACACTAAATTTCACCTTTGAACCATATGATTTCAGCAGGTTAGTGGAAGTGAATCGCTACAATGTTCTGAACAGCAAGGACACTCTCTTCAAAACCCTAAACTTGGCTCTGCAAAGGAGGAAGTTGAAGAAGGTCATCAATAAGTCCAATACATGATCAGCTTCCAGAGCTGCGCTCTGATGAAAACTCAAGGGATGTACCGTACAACATGGATGTTGCTTCCTTGTGTGGGGAAGAGTAAGGAATCATCTAGCCCAGTATCTCAATTTACAGTGGCTGATGCCAGATGATTAGGGAGGTCTATTCAAACAGTTCCAGCATCTGGAGAATAATCTTCCAAACTCCACTAAACGATGCACCTCTTTTTGTCAAAGGTGTGTTAGTGTTTGGGGAAACACTGATTTCTTCTGTACTTTTATCTCTCCTGCTTTTTGAATCTCCCTTCTTGAACTTTTACAATTTACATCATCTTGCAGGTAATTCCACAGATACACACACACTGAGAGAGATGTGTCCTTTTGCTTTCAACTTGTTACTGGATGATGCCTGCATACTTTCAAGACTGAACAGTGATTACTTGCTTTCTATTTTTGCCATTCACGATTTCAAAGATCTTTGTGATATTTCCTCCCTACCCTTCTCAGGGATTTTAATGACTTTTAGTCTACCAGAACTTCAATATTGAGTACCTTAATTTCATAGACAATTTGTTTTTGAGGAAATAAATATTCACTTTTTTATGTTTAACAATTAAAAACACACTGTGGGATTGTGTTGCTTCTTCCTACAGTTTGATCATCATGAGATGATGAAAGTGTGATGAAAGTACCATGAGTCTCATCTTTCTCTTTGTGTATAAGAGGAAGGAAGGCTCCTTTCAAGGTTTCGAATTAGATATTTTCTGCCTTACACTTCAGTGTGCAGTTCAACCAGACCTTTGTTGGAGGAATTTGCGTGTCTATATATTTCAGAAACATCAACAGTCAAAGTAACCACACCTTACAAATGTGAATGAATAAAACAATGTGCTGCAGTGCTGTGGGATGGAATTCACCTCACTTTGCATAAAGCTCAGAGAAAAGGACTGAATTATGCAGTTGGAAAATATATGGTACAAAAATATGTAATACAAAACAATGACAAACAAGCATTGTTTACTTTTGTGGCTTTTACACTGAGTTGAATGTACTGATTCTGTATTTGAAAACCGGAGACAGGAAATTCGTCTTATGAAAGAATGTAAAGGCTTATAGATGAGGATGATTCTTGATACATTTTTTATTGTGTTTCACTTTTAATAAATATTAGTTTTTCTCACATGCTTTTTACAGTCTTTCTTATAAACACTTGTCTTGATATATTTTTCCTCATTTCAATAAAAAGTAAGCAAGGAAGTCAATGTAATACTATATTGCATAATTTCTTTTATTGCATCGGGATACTTGACAGTGGGATAACAAGTTACTGAGTCCATGTCAGGCTGGTGTTGCACAGCAGTAGAAAGTAATCTTTTCATTGTGAGACTTCTCTCTGAGGAAGCATGGCTCAAAATTTATTTTTTAGATCTGTTTCAAATTGTGCCTTCATCTGGGTGATCAAACTTTCTTGATATCTGGAAGGATGTATCCTTTATGTTCTTAGCACTTATTTACTTAAGCTGGAATAAGAGAAACAGCAACTTAATGTTATAATTTTCCTTTATAATTGGTGCTGCATGACTACCCACTCTGTAGGAGTTCTTACTTATTTTACTTTGCTGAGTTGAACTGCATAGTTTGATTTATTTCTACGTTTTTGTTTTCGAGGTTCTTTCCTAATTGGAGATGATTGGATACTGTGGAGATATACTATTTAGGTGCTACCTAATAGACGGGAAGGTAAAATGTTTTTCTCCAAAATTTCTACTGAAAATGTACATGTACAATGGAGTTATGTAAGGCACAGCTTCTCTGTAAGGTTTTCCACAGTGGCAGAGCTTCTTTATTGGAACCAGATATGGGGCCATAATAGTTAATTTTAATTTCCTAAACTTATGTTTAAGTAGCCACCTCATTTGAAACTCCATGTTGTGGCAGGGGAGTTATCTCCAAGTCTGTGCATTTACTGTATGGCATATGTTCTTCAGTCTTGTTAAGATGCATCTTGTCTTGTAGGAGGAATGTGTCTTTTCTCATTGCATTTAATTCAAGCCTAGTTATTAAGGAGAGATCAGCCTGGTATCCCAAGTCAAAGGAACATTCAGAAGAAATGGGAAGCAGGTAAGTTTGGAGTTGGTTTGTTTGCTGTTTGGTTTTTTGGGGAGTTTTTTTTTTTGGTGTTTTTATCCTGGGTACCAGGGTTAGAGCTCTCTCACAAAGGACTGCCAATTGGGAAAGGAACCCTGATAATGGGAGGAATGAGTCAGCTTTTTTTGTCTGAGGAAGAGCTCACATGGGTGCTTAAGTCTTGCTCTTGCCATACTTTTACAGGAGTAGGTATGCATGCAGGCTGCATGTTAGCCTGGAAACAAGATGTATACAAAAATAGCCTGCAGACTAACCTATCTTTCTCATATCCTAACTTTATTTCAAGTGTGGTGTCCTGCAGGACATGAACTGCTTTGGAACACTATGAAGTTTTACTTGCCAAATTTTTTTCTTTTACCAGGATGTACAAAATGAAGTGGTGCCCTTGAGGTAGTCTTTACTACGTTGTGGTTGTGGCTTTTGGTTTTAGACAGAAAACATTTATCATGAGGATCTGGGAAATGTTTTGTGGCTTTGTTTTGTGGTAGTTTAGGGAAAGGGAAGTTCATATCACTTTTCTTGATTATTCTGTCACCGTCTGATTAATTACCTGGTGGATTTAATACAACCCTTTCAGTCTTTTTTATATATCATGCAAGGTCCATTGAAACACTTTTTGGGAATTTCATCTTTCATAAAAAACTTATCATAGAAGATTTCTATATTCCACAATTAAATGAGGTAATATGTACACAGGCACATACTTTGGAAGATTGTTGGATAATGGAGGAAGAAAACCCCACAACAAATATTTTGTTGATTGGTGTTCTTGGTGTTGAGGAATACATTTAGTGCCAGTAGCTCAGTGTGCAGCAGCAGTAGAGCTGTAGGTTGTGCTCTGGGGGCAGGAAGCCCTAGACAAGAGGCTGTGACCTGGCACCAACCTTTTGCACAAAAAAAGGCACAAGGACCTGTGGCCCAGCCAGGTGACTGAACACGCAGAGACAGCAGGAACCAAGGGCTCAGCAGGAAGAACTGAAACTTTCATGCACTTAGATTGTGAGGGTATAAAAAAGCCCAGGGGGTCCTTTGTTTGGGGTCCCTCCTCAGAGGCACCAGCTCTGATTGTTTCTATGTTACTGCACCGTGAATAAATTGCTTTATGGAATGACACATCTGAGACTCTGCTAAGGGAAACCTGGTTTTGAACTGGTAAGGAAATCTGATTGCATTGAGTGTGGGTTTTGCAGGGAGTCAGGCAGGGCAGCCTTTGGCTCACTGGAGTTGCTCATTGTGAAGGGGCTTCAATCCCAGCAGTTAAAATCTCTGGTGGTGTGTGTCACTGAAAATCATCAGGAAGAAATGAAACCCTCCAATACTATCTTTTAAGTGACAGTGAGCCAGGCTTTACTTTATTCTGACCAGAGATATGTAGCAAATCATTCTAGCTACATATGTCCCTTTCAAGACTTTTCATGTATTTATACATTTAACAAACAAAGAAATTTACGTTCATTGGTTCTAAGTTACACAATTCTCTTCATTAATTAATATTCTATCTTTTATTGGCTATTGATCTCTCACCATTAATGCTAATTTGGTCCACGTTATTTGGTCCTCTTGTAATTCTTCCTCAGACATACATTCTCCAACTCTCAGGCTGTAATGGCATTGTTAATCTCTGTACCTTCTGATTACTCTTCCATGTCTTTGAGAGACCATAAATTTAAGATCCCAGATGTGTAATCTTCAGCTCCCTTGGGCTTTGTTTATTGAAGCTTATCAGAGCTAGTCCAGAGGAACTCAAAAGTTCAGTGGTTTAAAGATCAAGCTGACAAGAGTCTGTGAAAAGAAACTTAGCCACCTGCTACCATTAATTAAAAAAAAATTAGAAAAGTTTTATAATTTCTAACACAAGTGTGACTGCCAGAATGGCTCCTGGATTGTTGGACAGGAACGTTTCCTTAAAATTGGTGAAGAGAGCTTGGACCATTTAAGCAACCATATCTTCAGATAATCCTGTTGAAATAATTTAAAATATTTTGTATTCAGCTCTCTAGAGTGTGCAGTCTTGGAACTACTGTTCTCCCATGAGTGCTATCTGGGCTCTGATTTCATTTTGTCTTATCTCTCCCCTTCTCTATGTCTCAGACTGTCCAAAAGAACAAATTTTGCGTGTAGCACTTGAGGACCATATATGACTGAAGTAGGTGCAGCAATGCAAATGCTGAATAGTATTAAAAATTTAACTGATTTATTTTAATTCATACGGTAATACTGTTGTAGAAATGGGCACAAGTTTCTGATCCTGACTGTTCCATCTTCTATGAGTAGCTGTTCACTTACCTATCTTTTGTGTATTTTCTTCCTTTTCTTTCAAATATGTTGCTCAAGATCCCTGTCTAAACAACACTGGAGTAAAAATCCAAGTCCTACAACTTTCAGTGAACCTGGATGATTGCATCTAGTTCCCAATACATGTTGAGTCCAGGTGTAAGGTGGTTGTCCTTGCCCTGAGCTATTATGGATAGTCCAGGCCCTGACTGATTCTTCTTGTTGTTGGCTTTGGGCTCTCAGAAGCCTCAGGGCATCAAGGGACTCCTAACAGGAAACCAAACAAATTCAGTGCTCTGAAACTTGTCTGAATTACTACACTTGCTGCTACTCACTCCGTGGGTTCTAAGTCCAGCTGAGCAGGCTGGACTAGTGCAGACAAGATGTGAGACATGCATGGCTTATGTTTGCAGACAAAAGTAACTGTGAGTGGGACAGAGTCAGCAGTCAGAGCAGCAAGTGGAGACAAGAGATTTGCACCATCATACAGTTCTCAAAGGGTTGCTGTCTGCACTCTGGGAATCAACTGAATATGTCAAAGGAAGTGGAGAAACTGAATTCTAAGTAACAGCAACTTTTTTTTTACAGCAGTTTTGTATGTCCTGTGGCAGGATAACTTTGTTTATTCTAGTTCTTCATAAATGTTCAAAGTGAATGATCTGTGTGATAACCATTTAAATGTGCCCGGATTTAAACACTGAAGTAGCTTAATTTATATGGAAGAAGTAACAGCTCTTCAGGATTGCTTTATCCTCTATTCCAGGTAAAAGACATTTTTGTAGTCTGCCATAAAGCAATAAATTTCTGAACTATGGAGAACAAGGAAAGAACAAGGAAATCTCTCTATCTACATATCTATAAAACCATAAAAACCTAGTAAAATATGGCATGACATTAGTAGTTAAAGAAAGCTGGAATACTAAACTACTTCTTATTTTGTAGGAAACCACGTGTGATGATATGCAGAAAAATAAGGTTTGACAGCCATTCCCAGGGTAATGAATTTCCAAAGGGTAAGGGAGGAACAAAGGCATGATCCAGTTGAAAACATCATGGGTTAGTATACATAATTCGTAGAATTTCTTCATACAGTCCTTAAACATGTAAAAAATAGATTGATTACACAGAGCTGTCTTTGAAAAATAGAGACAACCAGGTTGAGAGGCTTGTGGGCAAAAACTGGAGGATGAGCCAAGAAAGGAAACCTCATGGTATTTACTACAGGCTACCTGATCAAGGGGAGGATGAACAGGATAATACCAATTACTTCCTAAAGAATCTTAAAAAGGTGGAAAACACACTTGCACTGAGAAATTCAAAGTGACAAAGTTATCAAGGTCAAGAAGTTTGGTTTTTTACTATGATAGTAAGAGTTGGAAGTTGTGCCAGTGAATTCAATTGACTCACACTCAAATCACTATGATCTTGCTGCAATTGTCCCTACAGCAGAATCACTTATAAAAGGGTTTATGAAAACCTTTTGGTTTTAATTTGAACTAAGTGAATTAAGCAGCTACTTCATTCTCTGATCTGATCAACTATGATTACCCTAGAAAAAAAGCATATTGCGTGCACCTGCAAGACCACCTACTCAGATCAACAAATATTACAGATAATGCAGTCTTTCTTCTGTGGAGTTGCTAGATTGTCATGGGCAGGGACCATTTTGCATTCACATTAATGATAATATTAA